ATCATCACCAGAATCAAGGCAGTTCTTCGGGAAGAATTTGTGCCTTTTTATTTATGTAGAAAAGCAGCTGCACCAGAATTCTTCTATTGCCTGCTTTATGTCTGGGTATGAATGTGTTTCAGATGATGAATGCCAGTGTATAGCACTGGACAGGAGCAGCTGATCTGTATGATGTTTAGATTTTAAGTACCTGTTTGGGTCCATTTAATTCAAAAGAGAAGTGGGGAGACTCCCAACTGTCTGTCCACCATGTGTGGTACTGATTGTTCAGAATGTGGTTCTGCTGGTTCCAGATCAGAGCCCAGTTGTTAAAAGATTTTTATTTCACTCGTTTCGTGGTATTTTCTTGACATTAATGTTCTTGAAAGTTTCTCATTTTTAGGGAACCTTAATATATAATTTGAGGGGTGTGGGTTTTTAAAGATGTACTTTTATTGATTGCTGTCCAGTATGTTCTTCACAGTGAATGCAGTGACCCATTACTTGAATGATTTGACCAGACACTTGGCAAGAGAATACAAAAATGGTTATTACCTGTTTATGGAGGAATAAGAAACTATTTTAAGTATTTTCTGTGTATCTATTAAGTTCCATTGTAATATGCTTTGCACAAATACAGCCTTTGTAACCACTCTGTTATCATGGGTGGAGAGAAAAAAAGGAAAATGTTGGATTTTTGATATTAAGCAGGAGGAAAGCTGCTAATGTTTTTTGTAGTCGTTGTTTCGGGTTTTGTTTTCTTACAGTTTTTGTTTGTTTTTTTTTCATTTATAAGTTTGTTGGGTTTTTTTGAGAGTTTAGAATGATTCTAAACTTTGTTGTCTAGGTATGTAGTGCTTGGATAGGCAGTGGGGTTGTAAGTGACCTGAACGACCTCCGCCGAGTTCACAACCTTCTTGTCTCTTCCCTGGATAAAGTGCAAGCAGGAAAGGGATCTTCTAGCCAGCTTTACCGAGAGAGTGCGACTACTATGGAAAAACTTGCAGTTCTGAAAGCATGGGCTGAGGTAAGCATTGACCGTTCAATCTTCAAAAGTTTGAAAAGGTTTTGCAGTGTAATAGCAGACTCGCACCTCGCTGGCTGTTCAGCCGCTGAGCCTTGCACCTGCCTCCTCCTTACCTGTTGCAGTTCCACTCTGGGGGTATTTTCATCTCTGTATCTTTCTCTGTTCATTTTTCTGCCATTCTATTGATCCATATTTATAGTGATGCTCGATTGTTCTTTGTTTTATTGCACTTTTCTGTATTATACACTCATACCCTATTGGATTTTGATTTTCCTCCTATCTTATTGCTTGTAAACTTAAAAAAAAAAACAAAAAAAACCAAAAAAACAACCAAAAAACTTTAAAATATATTCTGGTAAAATACTGCAGTTAAGTAGCTAGGAGTTTGTCAAAGCGTTCATGATAAATGCAGGCGGAATGCCTAGAATACCAGAAATCTTCAACTATTTACAAAAGACAGAATTAGCACTACTTACATTGCTTTACTTCCTGAAATGGTTCTTGTGTGCTGTAGAGCTCTACATATAATTACCCGAGTGGTGTTTTGGGTTTTTTTTTAGTGTAGTGCTTTAAGTTTTGGTGTTTGGTTTTAAAAAACCTTCTTGGAAGTTACTTCTGAAATTACAAAGGAAAGTACTAACATTTCAGCTGTGTAATGTTAATCACCCCACACTGTAATTTTCAGCTTTGATATGGAGCATCTGTCGTGTGAAGACACTTCTATTCTGTTTCTTTTATAAAAATGCTTAATTTCACTGTATTTTTCTGATATTTCTGCTTATTCCCATATTTAAATTTTTGAAAATCCTTGTATTCTCTCATAGCATCTATCAAAGAGAAAACTATAAAAGTTCTTGTGTTCATGTAACACATTTAAGGCCATTTTCATGTCTTTATTACACCTAATCTGTTCCCAGAAAGTGACAACTACTCTAATGTATCTAGTAGCTCTTAATGTACATCAAAGAAATCTTTGCAGTAAGGACACATTGATTTAATGAAATCAGTTATTTAAATCAATATGTCTGTGTAGAGCAGCAATTGACACTTTTTTAGGAAAAAAAAGTGTGGCCAGATTGTTTTAGGAAAGTGCCTATGCCCCTAAGTGTTATGTATTGGTAGCGATAAAAGAAAAAAAAAAATAAAGTTAATTGTATTGCAAGTCTATTTTTCCCAGTCATTTTCTAGTGAGCCATCTGTGTATGGAATCTGTTACTTTTACATGGGAAAGGCTGCTGCTTTTTTTTCTTTTTAGGATCTCACAGCATGTACTTCCATATCTGTTTTTTCTTCTAGGTATATGTTGTTGCCATGAAAATTAAGAAAGAAGCAGAGACCAAACCAAAGCGTGTTTTAAAGAGCACAGAGGAGGATGAGGATGATTTTGGTACTATAGATGAGTTGCCACCAGACAGTTTGATAACACTTGTACAACCTGAGCTGCCTGCACTTAGCCGTCTCTGGTTAGCTGCACTGAAAGATTATGCTCTTCTAACTTTACCAGCTGAATTTGCTACCCAGCTTCCGCCAGATGGTAAGTGCTGGAATTTCTTTTTGTCTTGTTGTGAAAAACAGAAAGAAACCCTTAGTTGAGACTTGTAAATTATTTTATAAATTATTTGCCAGGCACATTTTTTATGCAAGTGATAAATTTCTGTCTATGTGTAATAGGAGTGTATGTTTGAAGTTTGAGTGTGCTTTTTTCCTTCCGTCTGCAATGAAAATACTCTTTATCTGAATTGCAGAGATCATTAAAAACGTGTCTTTGTAGAGTTAAGATAACATCTACAGCTCTCATACTTTGATATCAAATGCAAAAAGATGTTTACTATAAGAAAAACATAGCCCTTGAAATTAGAGCAGATACTGTTTTATAGTATTTTACTGAGTTAAGAATGCGTGTTTTGTATGAAAAATGCTGCAAGACCTGATGACTTTGCCTTTCTTGCTCTCTGCTTACTGTTCCGTTGTGGCCATTGCACTTTTTAGAAGAGGTACTACTGTTGCCCATTCACAAGGGGAATGGGGATGCGCTGTCACTAACAAGCATTACACCTGAACATGTACCTGGTCAAATACACCCAGAGTAAATGAACTAATAAATGTAGAGTTTGTGCTTTTTGTCTGTTATTTGCAGCGGGTTTCAAGATTTACCTTTGCTTTGCTAATTTAACAGGGGGAGCATTTTACACTCCAGAAACAATTGATACAGCTAGACTGCATTACCGAAACTCCTGGGCTCCCATACTACATGCAGTGGCACTTTGGCTAAACAGTACAGGATTTAATGCTTCAGAGTCAACAGAAGAGACTGCTGCAGCAATGCCCAATTCACAGAAACGTGCCACGTCCATTATGTTAAACCAGACACCTGGAACTCCACCTACCACTAAGTCTTTGCCAGAGATAAACAAAGATCGAATGCACTTAATTTTGGGTAAGATTTACAAGTTTAGAGTTCAGTACCAGCATGTTATGGTGCAAAATGGTATGGAAATAAGAAAAGATGCTTTGCTTGAAATCTGGGAAGTTTAAAATGCATCACATGTTTGCACAGTGATGTTTCAAAATATCTGTCTCCTTCTTTCTGTATCTCTCTGCTTCCTGTGTTCTTTATAGCTTTACCAGAATATTTGTCGTTGTGATTATTGTGATTTTTATAGACAAGCTGTATATCTAGCTTATTTATATAATGGAATAAAATGAGTAAAAACTGTTCTATGCTGTAATATAATTCAGATGACACAAAATGTTATGCTTCAAAGACACAAAAGCTGTAAGGTTAATTAACATACACACCCTCATAAAACCACAGTTCAGTAGAGGCTGATATTTGACGAGTCATATGGAGTAGCTTTTGCATCAGTTTTTCATCTGTGAGTAGTGCTCACTGTTTCCTTTTGTTGTTTTCTAACAGCTTTAAGAGGTGGATATGATAATTTATTGCGAGGAATGCCAACAGTTTGCTGAGATATGTAGATATTTAAAACCAGAATTAAGTGCCATATGTATAGTATGAATATTGCATAATTTTTGAGGCTTAACTTCATCTCAGTTATCTTTACATTTAAAAGAGTTCAATAAAATAAAACTAAATTTACAATTGCAGGATTCAGAAGCTTGACTTACAGATCTTTAGAACAAAGTGTAGGTTTCCATTCAGTAATCTAAGTTCCTTGCTGTCACTGCTTATTTTTTTTTCTCTGCCAAATTTGGGGGAAGATATGATGCAGAAGAGCAAGTGAATACAATTCTACTATTTCTGGTACATAAACTCTCTTTTCCTTTAAAGGAAGAAGAATTGAGAGAAACATGTATCTTTCTGAAGTTGTTAAGAACCTGCTATATATTTATAAAGAAATTTAAAAAAGAAAACTTGATTTTTATCATGATGTGAAGATTCTTTTTAATTATTGCTCTTTTCAGGTGTTAGTATACAGTTTCTGTGTTCCCCACGACCCGAAGAGCCTGTTGAGCATGTTACATCTTGTTTACAAGCACTTCATACTTTATTGGATTCCCCTTGTGCCAGGATCCATATTGCAGAGGATCAGGTACTGTATGAGCATGTTGTAACAATCGGCTTTTTCTAGGTCTTGGGCTTTCATCTGTGACAATTACAAAAGCTGTAATTATTTTTGCATGAGAAAAGTGCGCATCATAAGCAAGTGACATAACAATTAGGAATTGTTAAGTACTAATTAATTTTTTTAAATATTTATTTTGTTTTCCTGTAGCTCCTTGGTGTTGAACTCTTGAGTGTGCTTCACAGACTCCTCTTGACCTGGGATCCTCCTTCAGTCCAGCTACTGGTCACAGGAGTTGTCCAGCAGATAGTAAGAGCAGCTCAAGATTATTTGCAGGAAAAAAGGAACACCCTAAGTAAGATTTTGAAAACACGGCTTACTTTGCAGAGTAAATAAGCAACAGGTTTTCGTATTGGGAAAGGAACTCAAATACATTAGAGTATGGTTAAAGTGAGGAGGAAAACACTCTGTATTTCCACAGATACTTTTGATGTATTCATCATGCTGATTTCTTAACTCTTGTAAAATATGGGTTTTCTTCCTCTGATCATTCTAGCAGTTATTCTTTTCGTGTCATGGTTTCAATTCTTCTTTCTTGAATACGAGTGATGAAAATTATACCCAGCACACCACTTAAGGTCTTACCAATACCTTGATCAGTTTCATTGATGCTTGTCTATTGACTGCCTCCTAGCACTTCATTTAACTTTTTTATGAAGTTTAATGGTTCAGGCCCCAGTGCAGAGTCTTGTGGTGCATCCCTGGCACAACTGGCATTCATGAGGTGAGTAAACTGCTACTGGAACTAGTGTGAAAAGTTGCCTGCCCAGGAGCTCTTGCCAGAACGTGGTGCAGACTTGCATCTGGGTTCTTACTTCACTGACATTCAGGGTGTGTCAGCAACCAGGAGGTCTGGGAACAGGGTGTGCAAACAGGAGCAAGGCAGTTGGCACAGAAAGGCATGCTCACGCAGCCCAGAAGCGCTGCTCAAGACTGTGCAAAACTACTGTAGTCAGCATGGTGATGGCAGCGACGTAGAGGCAAGACACAATCTGCTGACTGAGGAACAATCATCTCTGGCACATCAGAAGTCTAATGACTTGGCTTGAAATCCTGATGTGATTGTCCTCCAGGTGCTTGTCTGTGCAGCCAGGGCTGAAGGTGACAGTGGTCTCACCTGTGAGATGTGAAGGAAATGCATATGAAGGTGAGCAGACTGTGTAGTGTCAGGAAAGGCAAATGGAAGAATGGCGTGTTCTTCACAGAGATCCTGCAGGTGCAGGAGCCCAAGCCCCATGTGTCACCAAAGAAGGAACAGCCATAGGCTATGCTGGAATATGGCCCTGGAGGATGCGACACAAAGGTGGAGGCTGCAAGATTGTGACTTCCAGCAACAGAAGGCTTTATCTTCAGACATGCAGTTGGAGAACACGATAGAGATCTGGCAAGAGAAGAGGAACAAGCTTGTCAGGATAGTTATCTGGGCCAGCCATCCCTCTTTGACAGGTCATAAATTATACAACTAAGAGAAATTGAAGGGTGATACCACTCAGGAACTGTCGTCTTGTTTGCCACAGACTGCCTAATCAACAACAGGAGATGGATGAAGCCGTATTAAGCCAACTCAAGAAGCCTTCCAATCATAAGCTGTGGGAGCCTCATGGGAGACTCCTGTCATCCAGACATGTGCTGGAAGAGCAGCGCTGCAGGATGCTAATCATCTGAAGCCTTCAGAAGTGTATGAGGCACAGATTTTTTCAGTCAGGATGCTGGACAGTCCAAATGAGGGAAGTGCTCAGTGGGTCTGCTCCTCACTAATACAGAAGAAATGGTTATCAAGGTTAATGGTAGCTGTACCAGCCATGAGATGGTGGAGTTCATGATCCTGAGGGAAATGAAGAAAGCAAGTAGCAGAACCAAAGGTTTGGCCTGACTTAGCAGACTTGGGCTTGTGCAGGGAGCTTGCAGAGGAGATCTTGTGGTAAACTTCCCAGAAGGAAAAAAGAAAGAGAGATAGGTCATATTTGGTGACAAAAAAAATTGCTCATCCAAAAGTGCAGGATGATAAACAGGCATGGCAGGAGGCTGACTTGGCTGAACGGGAACTTTTGACTGAGCTCAAATGTGACAAGGAAGTGTATGGATGGTGGAAGTGGGGGCAAACTGCCCAGGAAGACTATTGAAGATGTCTGCTCGAGTATGGAGGAGTGAAATTAGGAAAGCAATGATTTGGCTGGAGCTGAGACTGGTGATCAGTGTCAAGTGTGACAAGAAGGGCTTTTATAGATATGCTGGCAGCAAAACGACCAAGGAAATTTGGACCTGCTGATGAATGGATTGGGTGATCTAATGACAAAACATATTGGGGGAAAAACTGAGACACTGCTACCTTCTTTGTTTAGTCCTCCTGTGTCTCTGTGTCTGGTGAGTAAGTTTAGGGGAGAGAATTGCTACCTCCAGTAGATGAGCATCAGGCTAGGGACCACTTGGGGAAAAGCTTCACGTACCCTGGGACCAGATGGGATGCATCTGAGGGAGCTGGCTGGTGACATGCTAAGGCTGCTGCAGTTATCTTTGAAACTGCGGTGCTCAAGAAAGCTATCCAATAAATGGCAAAAAGAAGATGCTATGTCTAATGTTCAGTAAGTAAAGACGTGAGGCAGGTTTTGGGATACTATGTGCTGTTAAGCCTGCTGAGTGTGTTGAAAGATTTTGGAGTAAATTCTCTTGGAAACCACTTCTGAGTACACGAAGTAAAGAATGTGGTTTGAAATAGTGAGCGCAGAGTTACAAGGACAAATAATGCCTAACCACCCTCTGTGATGAAATAACTGGCTTTGGATGAAGGGGGAGTGGTGGATATTGTTTGCTTTGACTTTTGCAAGGCTTTTGACCCAGTACCCCATAGTATCATTGTCGAATTAGAGAGATGTGGAGTGAAGAAGAGGAGAATAACTGGCTGGACTGCTGTGCTTGAATGGAGTTTGGTGATTCAAGTCTAACTGGTAGCTGGTTGCAACTGGTGCTCCTTAGAGTTCTGTATTGGGTCTGTTACTGTTACACATAGTCACTAACAACCTGGATGATAGGATAGAATGCACACTCAGCAAATTTGTGGATGATACCAAATTGTGCAAGTGGCGGATACACTGGAGGGCAGCGCTGCCTTTCAGGGGAATCTTGATCTGCAGGACTGAGAACCTGCTGAAGTTCAGCAAAGACAAATACAAAGTCCTGCATTTGGGATAGAATAACCCTGTGCATTGGTATAGGCTGGGGGGCTGACAGACTGGACAGCAGATAATGAGTTGAATGTGAATCCATGGTGTGCCTATGCAATGCTGAAGACTGTTACTGGGCTGCATTAGAAAAGCATGATCAGTAGATTAAGGGATGTGATTTTCCTTTCAACTTGAGCTTGTGAGGATGCATCTAGTGGTGTCTAGTTTTCTTTGCCCTTCCCCTTCATCCTGAGTAAGAGAGATGTTCACAAAGTGAAGGAAGTCTATTGGAGGTCCATAAGCTGCTTAGGGAGCTGAAGTATGTGAGGAGAGGCTGAGAGCTGAACTTGTTTAGTTAGCAGAAGAGAGGGTTAATACGGCACAGAATAGCAATCCCCCTTCTTAAACAGGATTTAAAGAGAAGACCAATCCAGGCACTTCTGAAAGGCATATGGTAGAAGGATAAGAAGCAATGGACACTAGTTGCAGCAACAGAAATCCAAATGGGATACAAGGAAGAAATTGGTCACCATGGGAGTGGTGAATCAGTTGAACAGGTGCCTAGGGATGTTGTGGCATCTCCATGGTTAGAGATATTCAAAACTGGACCAGCCCTGAGCAACCTGCTCTAGCATTCAGGTTGGCCCTGTTTGGAACAGGAGATTGGACTTGGATGACTTATGGAGGTCCCTTTCAACTTAAATTTTTCTGAGATTCTCTGATGAGTTGAATATACCTAAATCCTATTCCTCTACTTGGCCTTTATTGAGCTTTAGTAAAATCTATTTTTCTTCTATCCCTACTTCTTCTGGTATGATATTTCAGTTTCTGATGTTTTGCTTAGGCTTTTCCTCAGCATATTCTGTTAGTTTTTTTCTACTTTATATAAGAATATCTTTGATAAGACTATCAGCATCAGTCTGAAAGCTACTTTCTGAGGTACTTCTAGTAACCTCTTCCTTTCAACAGAGCACCTCCCTGTCCAATTATCCCTTTACCATTTCTTTACAAATCTCGCATTGGATGTACTGTTTACATCTTTGCCAGGTAAATTAGTTTCCAAGTGGCAACCTGGCAAATAGTTCATTGATACCTGCTTAGGTTAGCTCTGCCATGTTTTCTTTTACCTGAAAGAAGTAAAGTAGAACCCAAAGAATATTCTCTTACCAAGGAAAACTACCATCTTAGTCTGGCACAATATACTGTTGAGAAAAAACACAACTGTTAGCTTTTGCCCATTTTCCACATAAAAACAGAGAGAGGATTTTGCTGGAACTTGAGGAACCAGCACGGCTAAAAATGCAAGCTCTGTTCCTTCCTATGAATTAATGGGATTGTTTGCTTTAGGCCCAGTAAGTTGCACTTTTCAAATCAGTGAATGTGATAACACTAGCAATCATTTAAATTCATAGGAGCTCCATAGGGGTAGTTCTGGCCAGCTTTGACTTACTGAATCTCTGTTGCTGTTTAATGAGAGAAGGAAAGAATGCAGCTGGCCAAGCTGCCATTCAAAGAGAGACTTTTGAACTGAATGCACTGAAGTCATGAACTCAGACATAGACTCCTACAATGCTTTTCTGTTCTCTTATTTCATAATCAGTTTAGTCTGAAATAAATGTTCTACCCTGACAATCTTAATTAATAGCCATTAAATTAAAAAAAATACTGTCATGCCTATTTATTTGGCAGTCATTGATGTTAATTTTACAGTCTGTTTTAAAAGAAGCAAAATAATCACTGCATTTTTATTTTGTGTAAGTATTACTACTTTCTAGTTCTAGATGGATTTTTAATAAGTATTGTTGCAATCACAATGCTTTTAAAGCATTTTAAACCACTTGAAGTCATTCTAACTAATACATTTAGTTTGATATGAGCCATGTTTGTCATATCTTACTCTTGAAACAACTTTTTCGTCTTGATTTTTAACTTTTTTTTTTAAATGTTTCATGTAATCTTCGGTGTGGGATCTTTCTTAATTGTCTCCTCAGACATTTCTTTCCTTTTTTCAGATGAAGATGATATTGAGGAAAAAGAAAATCCTCTTGCTTTAGGAGAGGGAGGTGAGAGTGGTGGTCTTGTGCCTGGGAAATCCCTAGTCTTTGCAGCCATGGAATTGCTCATGTTTATCCTAGTACGGCACATGCCCCATCTGAGTTCAAAAGTGTCCGATTCTCCAAGTCACATTGCTGCTAAATCCCACCTCTCTGAGGAAAGTGCTCGTTTTGGGGCTGCCACTGTTACGATACTGTCTGACCTGCCTTCTCTGTGTTCTCCAGCAGGTAAGGTGGTGTACAAAATATGTACGAGTGGTTACTGTACGGGAAGTGTAGTGAGTATATGATGCTAAAAGCAAACTGTAAATATATTCTTATGGGATACTTTAAGGGTTGTCTATTAAAAAGTATGGTTAGGGTCTAAAAGAAATTAAGAATTTGTGCTTTTCCAGTGAGCAACGTAAAGGAAATTAATTAACTTTGAATTTGCCCGTGTGCTGCAAGTTTGCTGAGGAAACGAGCTCTATGTCACTATGATTTCATTGTTGGTTTTTTCCCCTTCCTTTTTTCATGATTTTGAAACCTTTTGGCCAACTTTAATCATGTTGTAAAAGAACATAGACATCTCGGAGATAATTAAATTCCTGAGAAGTTAACGAAAAGCAGCAGCTGGATGACAAGAGAATCCTACTGAGGAAAAACCAGCACAATTCAGCTGTGGTACACTTGGTTTTGCAGGCGTTGGCTGTCAGTCATCCTAAATGTGACTATAAACTAAATGGAGCTTTCTTCTGCCCAGGGAGACTGTCACAAAGGATATGTGTAAACTGGGGTAATTGCACTGGGTGGAGTTCAGGGGTAAAGGACACAACTGCATGGGAAGCTGCGCTCTTTGAGTTTTGCTTTTCAGAGAGCAAATGGATGAAAAGCTGGACATGAGCCGGCAATGTGCGCTGGCAGCCCAGAAGGCCAACCGTACTCTGGGCTGCATCAAAAGAAGCGTGGCCAGCAGGTCGAGGGAGGTGATTCTGCCCCTCTACTCTGCTCTGGTGAGACCTCACCTGGAGTACTGCGTCCAGCTCTGGAGCCCTCAGCACAAGAAGGACATGGAACTGTTGGAGCGGGTCCAGAGGAGGGCCACAAAAATGATCCGAGGGCTGGAGCACCTCTCCTATGAGGACAGGCTGAGGGAGTTGGGCTTGTTCAGCCTGGAGAAGAGAAGGCTGCGGGGAGACCTGATGGCGGCCTTTCAGTACCTAAAGGGGGCCTATAGGAAAGACGGGGAAAATCTCTTTAGTAGGGCCAGCAGTGACAAGACAAGGGGTAATGGTTTTAAACTAAACCAGGGTAGGTTTAGACTAGATATAAGGAAGAAGTTCTTTACAATGAGGGTGGTGAAACACTGGAACAGGTTGCCCAGAGAGGTAGTGGAGGCCCCATCCCTGGAAACATTCAAACCCAGGTTGGATGGGGTCCTGAGAAACCTTATCTAGTTAACAGTGTTCCTGCTCACTGCATAGGGGTTGGACTAGATGACCTCTAAGGGTGCCTTCCAACCCAAAACATTCTATGATTCTATGATTCTATGATCTTTGCCTGAGTGGTCCCTGCTGACTTTCCTTTAGGGATTTGGATTACAAAACAGGAGAGCAATCCACATGGAGGTGCATTTTGTGATGCTTGCTCAAAAAGAAATTTTAACGGGCATCATGCAGCTGACTAGGGGATCTCTGCATCTAGACTTTACTGTGGAGCTCTGAGATTGAGTCAAAAAATGGGAACTGCCAGATAAATTGTCTATGAGGATGTCTTCCATCCAAAGGGACTTTTTTTGTTCTCCTGGTCTGAAAAAAAATTCAAACTCCCATGCAAGGTTCTAGTCAACCTGTAGCTTAACATCTGTGCATTTTCCTTAGTATGTTTGTTAAAATAGAGGACAAAAAAATCTGCAGAATTTAGAAAAAGTTGGCTGTTACATTACTTAGTTTACATGAGCACACATCCTTCCAATTTATTTTCATTCCTCAAATACTCTGATCAGTTGTCTTTGGGAATCACATTTTTCTATGCTATGCTTGGGCCAATTACAACAGGCTTTGTATATTTAGAATACCCTATGTTCATGTCCAGTTTTAATTCAAGAGATGCTTCACTTAGCTACCTAAACATTATTTTATTAGTAAATGGTTTTGATAATTGAAATTCAAATTCTAGGTATTATACTTTGATTTCCTCAGTTGTAGCTCCTCTTTTATAGTTCAGAACTTGGGAGCTCTATCCCGTGTGCCTTTTTTTCATCTGGCTGGTCAAATTTTAAGAAATAGTTAGAGTTGTGTTGAAGACAAGCACACCATTGGATTTAAGAAAATATTTACATCTGGTGAGTTCCTGTCCCAGATTCGTCCTTGTTGGTCTCTTTTCTGTGACAATATTGATCATAACCTGCTGTTAGAAATTTTGCCTTTTGCAACTCATGTTGCAGGCCCCCCTTGCCCCCTAGGTCCTTTCCGTAGGGTATTTTTCTGTACTAGTTCAAACTTTCCTCTTCCATTTTGAATCCTGTTATGAGGTGATGATTTCACGCTTTAGATTTTCCTCAGGCTGACCTTACCAGTCTTCACAGTTTTAGGTAGTGACTTGTTTCTAGAACTTGGAAATCTACCTTCTGATATCGATCAGTCTTTCTGACATCTGCTGAATGTCTCTCATGTAAAATCTAAAGCATTTCCAAGCTGAATTCACTTTACTTCCTGGACTATGCCTCAATTTCTGTGACTACTGGCAACTCTAGACATGTTGGCAAGGCCTGAGCAAACTATCTTTTCCACTGTTCCTTTCCTATTTTCACAGAATACCTGCTAGCTTAAAGGAAAGGAGATTTTAGTTGCCAAAACAGTGTTTGTAGAGGAATCGATCTCTTTACTGAAGCTACAATTGTTCAGTACTGTACATGGACTCGACACCTTGAATTAAACCTCAAGAAAAATGGCAAAAAGTGTATCTTTTAAGTATTTGCTGACATGATTCATATAGTCTTAATGACAGTGAGTATTAAAGTGAATGAGTGTCAAGACAGCAAGGGATAATTGTGGCAAGGCTCATACTGAAGTAGGGTATTCACAATACTGCTACAAGCTTTCAGTTGGGAGGAAAAAATCCTACCCCTGCCAAAAAAATCTGTTGCCCACCAGCAGGATGTCTACTGCGTCTCTTTAGACAACTGCAGACTACTTCTTTTGGTTCACATTCGTACTTTGCCTTGCCCTTCGAAAACCAAAAAAGATGTACAGTCTCAGCTGTGTAGTTAGCAAAAGAGACACGCAAAGATTTGTTATTTGCATAGTGGTAGCTCAGCCAAAAAACATCCCATTACATCCCCAAGGAGCCATTTATAGAGACTGAAGGGAGGCTTGAATGGAGTTACTCATGTGAGAGATAGGGAGCAAGTAGGTAATTGCAAACGATCCTGAAAATGTCTGAGGGGGAAGGATCAGTACATTTGTGCTAACCAAGTCAAACTTCTAATTTGATTTGTCACATCAGCTCTTGTCTTCCAGCCTTTTGTTACTGTAAAGATTTCTCAGTCCCTCTTTCCAGAAACATTACTGGCTTCAGGCTTTTTTTGCAGACTTCAGAAATCTTTCTCAGTTCCTTAGAAGAGTGTTTTCCTTTTTCTTTCCAGTCTTTTGTGAGTGAGACACATCACACACACAAGAATCTAAGCAAGGTCTACTGCATACAATTTCAATTATCATAATTCAATAAAATGTAAACAAATGTAAAATTTAATTTTTTTTTTTTTTTTTAAATTGTCACTTAAAATGGAGTAGTTCTTTGAAGTGAGGTTTCACATCGTGGCTAAGCTAATCCAGTGACTAGCTGACATCTGTAAAGGGCAGTCATACTTGCTTTTCTTTTTTTCTGACTATATATCTGCTGGGTTTTTTGTGTCTCTCAAGGGAGAGCAGAACCAATCTGGACAACAAAACCAGCAGACCAGCAGTTTAAATATATATATTATAATAATTATATATAATTTTTTTTTCCTGTTGATGTAAATTCATGAATGAGATCTGTGAAGACAGAGCTTGTTCAAGGAAAAAAAGGATGACAATGGCAAGTACAGACTATTTGAAAAGCAGGAAAGGTTAACGTAGGACTGTTCTTATTATTGACAGGTAGCCGTCAGATCAGTCTGTTATGTGAAACTTCATGTTAAAGAAAAGTTGTTGCCATGCTGGATATCGGTTTCTTACTCTGCTGTATCAGCTGAAGAGATTTTAAAAAAAAAAAAAAAAAAGCAACCCCCCAAAAAAAGTATATTTTTAATGGGGAAAGGATCTAGAAAATACATTTTTCTTCTCCTGTTTACACACTGAAAACAAAAAATATGACTTGGCCAGAGAAAGTGTGGGTGATGTTTGTTCCTTGATATTTTAAGTTTCAGAAAGTTTGACTTACAAACAGCTATTAGAATAGAGTTGCTCAGCTTTCTGTCAGTCACAGTCAATAATGATAAAGTGATTCTGTAGTAAGTAGATGCATATTTGTATGCAGTTGCAAATAATTTCAGGTACATTTATTTCCTCTTTGTGAGTTTATCTGTGTTCACTGGCTTTTACTAAGTAAATTCTAACCCCTTTTTGGAGTAAGCTAACAGCGTGATTGTTTTTGTTTTTCAGAAGCCTCTAAGCCTATTCTTGATGAAGTAAGCATACTTACAGCTATTGCTCTCTTCCTTTGGTCAGCAAGCACTGAAATAATCGGAGTGCAGACTTTACAAAATGGATGTATGAACAGATTTAAAAGTGCATTAAATTCCTGTGATCCTTGGGTAAGATCATGTTAGAGGAATGTGAATGATATATAGCTGGGAAAAACTAATTATGATATATTTGCCATATTTCCTGAATGCTTTGTGATGTCTTTACTTCAGACGCAGATACTGCTTGTTAAAATAACTAGAATTTTCACCAGCACATTATAGAAACTCTTTAGTGAGCAAAACAACCCAAACGAAGTGCTTCTCGGTAATGTGTGTTTGTGGCCTTATGCCAGGTTCTTGACTTCTGGCTTTTTAAAAGGAAAAAAATCTTTGATATTTGGAATTTTAGCCAATGAAAAGGTTGGTTACCAGAGAGTGGTGACATTTCTACATTAATGCTGATTTTTCATAATACAAACGAAACCACTTTTTCTGTAGGTAAAATTACAGCCCACATTTCTGATTAATTTTGTATTTGTGCAAAACCCATGCTTATTTTATATGTTCATGCAAAACTCAGTTTGACTGCAAAAATGTGATGTTGTGGTCACCATCAGAACATCTACAGATTGTGAATCATCTGTCTCCTGATTTCACTTCTGCCCTTTGCTTTGTCTTTATGAATTGTTTTCTAAATTATTTTCTCATTGAAGAGAGAAACTAAAAAGTTGTAGGCTGACTTTGTTCAAGCAGGCTAACGTGCTGTGTAGTTAAGCTTAGCTGTTCCAGCCATGTGGACATCAGTTTGTTTGAGTGGGTATATAAATGTGCGTGTGGGAGCTAAAGAGAACTATCTACAGTGTTTCCACAAGTGAGCGCTGCAGAGATTCCTGAGAAGAAAAACACGCAGAAAATGCTGATGTGTTAGGGCCACAGTGAGGCATTTAAAATCCTGTTTAGACTGGTAAGTCTTCTCTGCAGCAGGGCTGGTGTTTTCCAGCGTGGACATAAAATTCAGTTGGCTCTGAAACCTAACTTCGGGTGGAAAGCTACTTAAAATTTTAGTGTGTGAATGGAAGTGTCAGTTGTGTTAAGCAGAAGCTTTTATGTCGTACTCTCTCTCAGAGAACATGAGCAGTGAGAGAACTACATCTTTGCCCACCACCCTACTGGAAAGCTGTCACAGAATCACAGAATGGCAAGTTATTACTTCAGGCCTTAAAAATTGAATTATACAGAAAACTTGCAGCCGTATACTAGTGAATTAACAGTCACCTGAGCTGCATAACTTGTCCTTTCTTTCTATTAATTTTTATATCTGTCATTTTTATTCAGTATTTTTATTTATACTTCTAGTTTTCCAGTCATCCCTGGATCTCGTCACAGATCACTGTGTTCAATAATACTTCCTCTAGAATATTTCTGTTCAGCATATGCTTGATAACTCATCCTGTTCGGACTTGAGTGCAGTTTGAAAGCATGTGCAATGTTTTATCGTTGTTTTTGTTGTGGGGCTTTACCTTTTCAAAAGTTCTGGGTTATATATGTGGGATTTTGGAGGAAGATCTTTGTACACCCAAATAAAATGCATTTATAAGTTCACCTAAACAAGGTCATCAGTGAGTCATTTTCCCAAATGTTGACCTTGATAATCCATGCTTTCCAGAGAAAAGAGGGAGGAGGGGAAAAGAAAATAGAAGGAAGAAAAGGAAAGGGTTCTGTGATCCAGCTCACTGTATGGCTACACGTATACTCCTATGATACTGCCTGCACAAGATGGAGAATGAGGAGGAGGGATGGACAGGCCTGACACTGTAGGCTACAGCCTTGGCTCGTGTTAGAGCAGTAAGATCGCTTTGATCTGAGTAATTTTTATGGGATGTTTTACCCCTTTGAGATTGGAATAGCATTTCATGATTTTGCAGATAGATCTAGTATTAGCACTGGTAGTTCTGAGACTTAAAGATGTACTTCTCTGTGGACCTGTGTGACTGACTTGTATGACATTAACTATTCCTTTATTTTCTCTTGAGTTCATATTGTTACTGCTATTAAGTACCTGCACGTCCTTAATAACTGGCCTTCCTTTTACTGAAAAGTGGCCTAATACTATTTTAGCAGATGGACTGTGTTGCTTCTTTCCCTTCCCCTTTGGTTGACTTTTTTTTTTTTTTTTTTTTTTTTTTTTTTTTTTTTTTTTCTGGTATCACATGTATCTCATGTACATAGATAAGAGTTTATTAGAATTCCCTGAGTTAACAAATAACTTTCAGAACAATGTGTTTATCTTGATTTAATTAGGTTCAAGCCAAGTGTTACCAGCTTCTGCTTTCTGTGTTCCAACACACCAACCGAGCCCTGTCAACACCATATATTCATTCGTTGGCCCCTATCATGGTTGAGAAGTTGAAAGCTGTGGAAAAGAGCCGCCCGAACAACAACCTGGAGCTGTTAGCAGTCCAGGAAGGAATTAAAGTCCTTGAAACGCTGGTTGCCCTTGGTGAGGAGCAGAACAGTAAGTATTTAGTTTTTCTAGATAAATGTGTAATGCTAAAATAGAATATTGAACATGAGAAATCTTGCAGTTAGAAACTTGGTGGCATAGTCACAAATGTCTGTGCAACATGCTTTTGTAGTACCAGTACTAGAACTTTTGTATACACAGACTCATACAGCACATACAGTGTGATATGCTGTGGCCTTTGCATTTCTGGTGATTGCATGAAAAAGAATTCTAACATAAACTGCAGTAGTGAGTGATGTTTTCTTCTGTTTGGAGAGGCGCCGTTCATACCATTTAAATTTACTTTTTCCCATTGTTGACGTCTATTTATTTCAGCAGACTTATCAACTTTTATCAGCTTGCATCTACCAGCTCAATAAAGTTTATCTAAAAAACCCAAGAAATTGAATGGTACTGGTCAGAGTATGTTGGTTGTAGATGGAGCCTCCTGTTTGCTTCAGTAGATAGAATACAGTATTTATAGTTTACCTTTAAGTTCATTTATTCTCTACCTGAAACAATGCGTTTTCTGAAGACACTTGGCTTTAAATGCTGATAAAGTTCCTTGTAAAAGTATTACTGTTGTTTTTATGGGGGGTTTCGGGTTTTTTTCCCCCAACGTGTTCTCTGCGCATATTTCTCTTCATTGATGGTAAAACACTAAATGTGTGTTTTCTTGAGCCCCATTCTGCTTCCGGCATAATTGTTTGAAACACACAAAAAATGAGAGATCAACTGAAGCAAATGAGGAAACAAAACATCTGTTTTTTGCTAATGCTGATTGGAGACAATCACCCTATGAGTATGAATTTAGTCAAAACTGTTAGGGGAAAATCATTAATACTCTAACCTACAAAATTTGAGATAAATGAGTTACCATTAAAGTTTAAGTTCTTTGAGATTAAAATTTACAATTAACACGTCGCACACTTCAAATGCGTACTTGTGTCCTTGCTAGATACAAGAATTAGCCCTATTGCTTAAGTTCAGTTGCTTTTTTGTTCTAAAGATCAACCCTTTTGATCCCTGTGCCATTTTGGGCTGTGGCCTCATTAGGTCGTGATACCCCAAGTATAGCTGTAGTGCGAGATTTTTGGATTGGAATCTTCCAGAATGAGTAATACAGGAGATAACTGTCCCTGACTTTTTTGTGAACACTTGCATAATAGAGGGTCTGTAATGCTCGCTGCGAAGCCTGATATTCCGATGAATAATGTTTCTGTCTGCCTGAAAAGTGTTTTGAAACCCTTTAATATGATAGGCACTCTGCATCTTACAATCTCTTATCGATGATCTGCAATCAGATGGTGCAAAGGAATCTGTAAAGAAGTGTCAGGAACAAAATAACTGTAATGAACAGTGATAGAAGTCTGAAACACAGGCCTGGTAAGAAAGATTTGAGGACAGGAAACCATCTACATTTCAGTTGTTTTTATTTGATCACTTTTTAATTGCAGTGTTCATTATCAATTCTGAGAACAAAATTACCCTTACCAGTCTAGTAACTGATAAAATTAATTTTCTTCTGTTTTCTTCTCTGATAATGGTTATTAAATTATTTTTTTTCTTTCACTTTCAGGAGTCCAGTTGCTCGCCCTTCTCGTTCCCACTCTGATCTCCTATTTACTGAATGAAAATGCCTTTGCTTCTGCATCTACAGCATCTAAAGATCTTCACGAATTTGCACTTCAGAATCTAATGCACATTGGTCCGCTTTACCCACATGCTTTCAAGACAGTAATGGGAGCTGCTCCTGAGTTAAAAACACGTCTAGAAACTGCAGTCCGAGCAAGTCAGGCCAGCAAAGCAAAAGCAGCTGCTAGGCAACCACCACCCACAGTACATTCCACCCCAACAATTAAACTGAAAACTAGCTTTTTTTGAATTACTTTTATTATTTTTGGACCATTAAGTAGTCAGAAGCATTACATTATCCCTGATGTGTTACTGGATATATGTCTGTAATTTTGTGTAATTTGTATGTGAAAGGCTGTCTAATAGAGCTTTGTGTAATTACTTGAAATCCGTGCGTTACAAGGGAAGTGGTGTTACTTGTATTTGTATAGATTTTTAGGAAATTGAATGTGATCATATTTATGAATTTGTGTTATAAATGATCCACCAAAAAACCCCATCCTCTATCTGACTGAACAGTTTTATTTATTTTTAAAAGCTACCCCAAACCTTTGAGTGGTTTTTGAAATCTGGTGATTGTTATCCTACCATTGTGCCAACACACTTACCACAGTGGGGACGGAGGGAAGAGGGGAAGCTGTTATGCAGTCCTTACCATGTACCACGGGGGATTTCAAGTGTAAAGTATGCACTTTCTCCTTTTAAAAACAAAGTAAGGAAGGGGATTGTCAGACCTTGTAGATCATTTCAGCTTGCATGAAAAAAAAAACACAAAGAATTGAAAATTTTCAGCCTTTCTCAAGGTGAATGATCAAGCATGCTGTCTTAATGACTTGTCCTTATTTATGTGGTGTATACTCCTTTCGGATCCATTTCCATGCTTGAAAATTAATAAAGGATGCAAAGAATCTAATCCCCTATCTCTTCTAAAATAAAATTTTAAAGAATGCATTGGAAATTGAGTTTACAGAAAGAACTGCCTGCCATCTGCTTTTTTGTAGGTGTAGATTTTTGCCCCTGTGAGGTGCTGGCTGTTAGCAGTCTTCCTATTCTGCCAGACCCTGCTTGAATATGATGATTCACTGCTCTGCTCTTTGTCCAGATTCCTAGGTATTTAACCTTCCTGCAGGATTTTAGTCTCAGTGGATATATCTTATCTGCAGTCCTTGATGATGTTTGCAGAGCCAAATTACTTGAGCGCTTTGCACCTGTATTGACTAAGGGAGTAGAACACAAGTGAGAGCCAGGCTCCTCCAGTCTTTCCTTCCCCTACCGGGCTTTTCTTTTTTTGAAAAGCATGTGGCTCCCCTCCCATCTGAGCGAGTCTGGGCTGCAGATTTTGGAGCTTAGAGGTCAAGCGCTGTGCAAACCTTACAGTGCAGAGCCGGTGACTCCCAATGTCCATCTGCTGCCAGACCTCACCCTTCCTATTGGCAGAAGTGCAGAATGGTGTATTTTCTTGTGTATATAAGACTGACTGACATGAATTTTCTGACACTGCTGTTTGAATTTATGGGGTTCTGTAGGGTTCTTTCTGTACATTTTGCTTGATAGGAGCTGCATAACTGGAAGCCTCAGGCAGGCCTGTTGAGTTTCATCTGTGATGTTTTTCTGGATACTCTCTAAAAAAACGGTGTATTTCAGAAGCTTGTATGTCAAGCCAAAAATAACAAAGGGATAGTAAATAGAACTAAATATGATTAATAGTTGGTTGAAATATTTGTAGGCCATTATTTTTGCATAGTCACTTGCCGGGTCTCTCTCTTCCCACAAGACCTTCTCTAACCCTTTGAGTACCTATTCAAAATGGAGGACAAAGATGATGCTCTTTTGCTCTGTTGTATTTGGTGTGTGCAAAATATTTAACATAAAATCAGAAAAGCTTTTATTTCACAGTGAATATTTTAGTATTAAAATGAGGACACAACAAGTGGTGCATACTCTTCTTTCAAATGTTTTTTTTTCATAGAGACATAAAGATGTTAACTTCCAAGTCTTGTTCTGTTGTCCCACAGGAGTAAAGATACATGCGGAGCAAAAAGAATATGCCATCTATGAGGAAGAAAGTAATTTCACTACTTTTTTCACCTTTATGTGTATAGTGGGAATTAAATTGCTAAAAATATATCGCTTTCTAATAAGTGTTTCCAGCATCACAAAGCTACTTTGCTCAGAAGCTCTGAACCTGTTTATCATTTGAGAGAAAGTATTAAGGAAACTTTCAGTACAAAATGGAACACAAAAGTTTTGCAAGTGAAACTAAGGAAATAACTTTATAACCTGTTTTTGATTCCATCCCCCCAGGTAGTCTAGTATTTAATGACTTCGATGTTTGTTGGAAACTTTTTGTCTCTAATTAGGTGTTATTTACCTTAATTTTTATCTCAGCACTTCTATGTTTTGGTTAGACTCTAGTTTACAAGATGTCTGAAAACTCAGAAAAGCGGGGGAAGGAGGGAAGTGTAGCAATCAAGCATAACTAAGAAGTCGGTAGAAAAATAGAAAAAAGTTAGCGGAAGGAAGGGAACATGGCACTAGACAGATGTAGAGGGATAAAGGGAGAGGTTTTTCTTTGTATACTGTGTGACTGTACACAACATGCTCAGCTCTCATTTGTCTACATCCTTCCCCAGTTTCTAGTCCTTGTTTGCTGCTTTTCTTGCTCCTGATACTAAAGGTATAACCACGTGGTTTTACATAGTATTTTGGCATCGAATTTCATTTGATTAAAAAACTGAAATAACTTGGAATGCCTGTAGTGCTTATTGTTCTTTCTCACCCTCCTTTTCATCTTTTTCTTTGTCAATGGCCTTTTTAATAGGCTTTTTCATGAAGCTTGTTTGCTCTGTTTCCCCTTAACGTCTTTCCTCTCTCTGCAGTTTCCTTCCTTTCTGGGTGAGCCTTGTTGTGCTACCCCGGTTCCCTGCCGAGGTCCCCCAGAGCGTGCTCCCTCTGCTGTGCTGCCGCTCCTCTTCCCCTCCGCTCTGCGACGCGCTCTGTAGGCTTCCTTAGTTGCCTTTCCCTCTTTAAGAGCGCAAAGAAGAGGTCGTCCACCAGCCGCAGCTCTCATCTCCGAGGGCAGGGTTACGAAGCGGTCGAGTATCATTTCGGAACAGCCGGGAGGAAACAGGAAGCGCTGCTTGAGTAAGCAGCCCCTGGTGTGCCCAGGGCATGGTGAGGGGTGGCGGGGCCCCTTCTGGGCACCCACAGTGACCCTACCTACCGCAGCAGCCTCGGTGGCCACGTGCCATCTTTCACGCACACCTGGGCTGAGCAGAGGCAACGGGGTGCTGCTGGCAGGTAGCCCTGCTGCCCGGCCTGTTGGCAGGGGTGTGTTTGTCCATCTTCAGCAAGCCTCCGGTGTTAGTATGCATGCAGCATGGAAAGCAAGCCTAAGTTTTTGCCTTCTGGGAGAAGTGGAGGAGAGCAGTGGTGCTGATGGAATCATAGAATCACTTTGGTTGGAAAAGACCTTTAAGATCATCGAGTCCAGCCTTTAACCTAACCCTGCCATCCCACCACTAAACCATGTCCCTAAGCACCTCATCTATCCTTCTTTTAAATACCTCCAGGGATGAGGACTCTACCACCTCCCTGGGCAGCCCATTCCAGAGCCTGACAACCCTTTCAGTGAAGAAGTTTTTCCTAATATCTAACCTAAACCTGCCCTGGCGCAGCTTCAAACCATTCCCCCTCATCCTATCATCTGTTACCAGGGAGAAGAGGCCGACTCCTCTTCTCCAGGCTGAACACCCCCAGCTCCCTCTGCCGCTCCTCGTAAGCCTTGCGCTCCAGACCCCTCCCCAGCTTGGTTGCTCTCCTCTGGACATGCTCCAGCAATGCAACGTCCTTATTGTAGTGAGGGGCCCACAACTGAACACAGTATTCAAGGTGCGGCCTCACCAGCTTGTGCCCTCAGCCCAGGGCTTTGCTGCTGGTCTCAAAGCATCTTCTTTTCCCTTTCCTTGCTGAAGAGGCAGTGTGGTAATTCCCCCCAAATGCTGTTTTGCTGTTTCATCCTATCCTGGGATGGATTTATAGTGTTTGGTACTTTGAGGCCAAGCACTGCTCGGATCAGGGCCGAAATGGAAAGGTGAGAGGGCTTGACCAGAGTTTGTAGAACTGCTGCCAGGCGCCTGCCCTTCTTGTGCCCCCGGGGTGAGCCGCGAGCGTGCCCAAGCCCTTTAAATCCTGCCCTGAGGCGGAGATTACGATTAATTTCTGCCCTCGTT